ACTCTTTTTAATCTTTTATAATCTTGTATCTATTTTTCAGATCGAAGAAGAATTCAAGATCATATATCCACATTCAAACGCTTTGGATCAAGAAACTAAAATCAACGAATTGATAGAAAAATGTAAAATTTCTATAACCAATGATGATGATGATGCATTTATGAATTTGTTCATGCTTTTGAAAAAAAAACTTAAATCCAAAATACCGATTACCACACGGAAAGCGTGTGTTGATTTAGCTGATGAATATGATGGGCTATTTTTTAATTTACAAGTTTGTTATATTATATTGATTATAGTTATATTGATTATTGATTTTATTTTATTTTTGGAATAGATTAATGATGATGTTACTGGTATTTCGAAAAAAATTCATGATAATTATAATTCTCCAACTATATTGAAGCAAGTGAATGTGTTTTTTTTATCGTATGACCAAAAATTTTTAAAATTTGATTCTTTTAAAAAATGTTTCATTTTGCTCCTAAAAATGTTATTAGTTTTGAAAATTAGAATCTCCAACGCCAATTCCAACTTTATAACATTTTTCAACTTGGTATTATTCGATATTAAAAAAACAAAGATTCCAAAAAAAGTTAATGATTTTTGCGATTCGATTGGCTTTGACAGAAAAAAAATGTTGCTAAATTCATTTCCAGAAATCATTTTTTCGTCTAAAACCATTAAAATCTGACAAATGAACGTTCACAAACTTTACATTGAAATAGTCTAATAAAATTTTGATTATAATAAAAATAATAATACAATTAAAAAATAATAATCAAAAATCTATTGACATACGAATGTGGATCGTTACAGCTTTTGCGAAATTCTTATTCATGTCAAGTTGAAATTTGTCATTTTTTCAATTCATGGAATGATTTGGCGCGTTTTCTTTCTTTGAACAAATTATCGAGGCTATTGCGATATGAACAATGTGGATCGTATTTGTATTTTCAAGATTCTTCAAGATTCTAGTTCATGTTAGGTTTGTCAAGTTGGTGTAAAGTTTGGTTTGGTAAATTTAATGTTTTCTCTATTAATGACAATTTTTGGCGCGTTTTATTTCTTTGAACAAATTATCAACACTATTTTAATATGATTAACATGAATCGTATCAACATTTTGAAGATTCTTATCCATGTTAGACTTGGTTTGGTAAATTTAACGTTTTCACTTTTCATGAAATGATTTGGCGCGTTTTCTTCCTTCGACCAAATTATCTACACAATTCTGGTATGATCAATGTGGTTTTGTTTCTTATTTTCAAAATTCTTGACCAAGTTACGTTTGTTGCCGTTCTTTCGATTCATGACAATGTTTGGCGCGTTTTCTTCTTTTGAACAAATTATCGACACAATTTCTTTATTTCACAACAAATTATCAATTGAATTCTTATGTGATTAACATGGATTAACATATCTTTATTTGCATCGTTCCGGATCATGTTAGGTTTGTCAAACATATTTCCTAATTCACACTTTTTGGAATTCAAAATATTTTTCATTATTTGGTACATCGATTCAAGAGAATTGAACTTTTTTGACATCCATAAATTCACAAGTTGGAAAAATCGATAATAAAATTAATTGTTGATTTTTGTCAATGTTAAGTCTATGGAAAATAATAATGCATTCTTTTTTTCAAAAAATTCATAAGTTCGACAAATGATCATTTGCGCATAGTCAAATGGCTAACTATTTTCAATACAATATGGTCTGCACTTTTGATAGTGTAAATCGTGTTGCGGCTCGTAAAAATTTTCTAGCGGCAAGTGGTAACTATTTTCTATACTTTTCCATCGTCCAATCATTTTGATTGAATGTTAGTAAAACGTTCGATTTGTCCTCGTCATTCTATTTCGAACTTTTTTTTTTGTTGACGGTTGTTTTTTCGAACGCGTTTTTTCTGCTCGATCTTGTAAGTTATTTTTTTCAATTTTAATCATTGATTTTGGTCCGAATTTTTGGAACAACCACTTTTATTGATTAAAGATTATCTTTGTTTGTTTCGTTTATTTGTTTCAGATAAAAAATTAGCCACGAAATTGATGAAAATTGTTTGGACGGGCGATGATGCAATCGACGAAAAATGATCATTTTCTCGATGGCATTTATTCAAGTTTGTAATTATCAAATGATATTTCATTATAAATAAACTTTCATTTAATAAAATCCTAATCAAGTTTATTTTTCAGTTTCATTATGGTGATAATTAGCACTTCCAATAAATCAATAAAGGTAATGTTACCATTTTGAGTGGCATGAAAATGATTACAATTTTCCTTCGTTTTAGCATACAATTCGACATGGCAAAAATCTATGAATAATTGGTCCAAAATAATAAAACTGCTGGTTGGATCGATGGATGTTAATCATTCAGTGAATAATCCAGGTAAATTTGCAATATAATCCATAATACCTTTCACTTTAGTTTCTCAAGTTTTTACTAATGAATGTCGAAACAATATTCGATTGATTATCATCATATTCCAGATTGATTTGTCGGTTCTATTGTTCATCGGCATCTGAATCAAGAATAGTTTGACAATGTTCAACAATAGGATAGGCTAGGTTAGATCAGGATTAGAGAACATGGTCTGAACTATTTCCTATTGAATTCGATATCGGGTGAAACTTTGTTACCGACAAAACGATCGACAAATATGATTAAATCAGTCGAATATCGGCACATCGATTTGGAATGATATGTGATTAAATGAAATGAACAAACTGACAACTTATATTTTTTCNGATTGATTATCATCATATTCCAGATTGATTTGTCGGTTCCATTGTTCATCGGCATCTGAATCAAGAATAGTTTGACAATGTTCAACAATAGGATAGGCTAGGTTAGATTAGGATTAGAGAACATGGTCTGAACTATTTCCTATTGAATTCGATATCGGGTGAAACTTTGTTACCGACAAAACGATCGACAAATATGATTAAATCAGTCGAATATCGGCACACTTGACATCGATTTGGAATGATATGTGATTGAATGAAATGAACAAACTGACAACTTATATTTTTTCCATCAGGTATTCACTATTATATCTCATCATCCGCTGGAACGGTCATTAGTGGACAGTGATATATTGGACGCTATTGGACATCTAATTGAGTCGACAGACAAAATTGGCCACTAATTGAATTGATAATGAATGGTATGTGATTGAATAAATGAACTGAACAAACTGACGACTTATTTTTCTATCAGGTATTTACCATTATATCTCATTATCATTTGTTGGAATGGACATAAAGCGATATCATGGGCAATAGCTGTCGATCATAGATGTTGGACATTGGTATCAATCACTGATATTGGACATTGGCGTCAATTATCATTGCGATTATCATTGGAATTGGAAAGATTGGAATCTTTAAAAAATTGTTTCTTTCTATTGTTGAAAATGTCTCTTTTCAANAATGAATGGTATGTGATTGAATAAATGAACTGAACAAACTGACGACTTATATTTTTTCTATCAGGTATTTGCCATTATATCTCATTTTATCATTTGTTGGAATGGACATGAAACGATATCATTGGCCCTTATCCAATGCCAATTCCAACATAATCACATTTTTAAACTTTGTCTTATTTGATTTTAAAAAACCAATGATGCCGAAAAAAAGCAATTTTTGTGATTCAATTGGCTTGGACCGAAAAAAATGCTGCTAGAATCATTCCCGGAAATGAATGGTATGTGATTGAATAAATGAACTGAACAAACTGACGACTTATTTTTCTATCAGGTATTTACCATTATATCTCATTATCATTTGTTGGAATGGACATAAAGCGATATCATGGGCAATAGCTGTCGATCATAGATGTTGGACATTGGTATCAATCACTGATATTGGACATTGGCGTCAATTATCATTGCGATTATCATTGGAATTGGAAAGATTGGAATCCTTNAATGAATGGTATGTGATTGAATAAATGAACTGAACAAACTGACGACTTATATTTTTTCTATCAGGTATTTACCATTATATCTCATTATCATTTGTTGGAATGGACATAAAGCGATATCATGGGCAATAGCTGTCGATCATAGATGTTGGACATTGGTATCAATCACTGATATTGGACATTGGCGTCAATTATCATTGCGATTATCATTGGAATTGGAAAGATTGGAATCCTTCAAAAAATGTTTCTTTCTATTGTTGAAAATGTCTCTTTTCAAACTAAAAATTCCCATTGCCAATGCCAAAATTTTGAAATTAAATTTTTTGTAAATTAAATTTGAGTAAAATTTAGTGTGAATTGCATTTGGGTGTAAAAATTTCATGGTGTGATGCATTTGGGTGTNCATTGGAATTGGAAAGATTGGAATCCTTCAAAAAATGTTTCTTTCTATTGTTGAAAATGTCTCTTTTCAAACTAAAAATTCCCATTGCCAATGCCAAAATTTTGAAATTAAATTTTTTGTAAATTAAATTTGAGTAAAATTTAGTGTGAATTGCATTTGGGTGTAAAAATTTCATGGTGTGATGCATTTGGGTGTGAAAATTTCATGTTGTTATGCATTAGGGTGTAAAAATTTCATGTTGTTATGCATTAGGGTGTAGGAATTTTATGGTTTAATGCATTATGGCTAAGAAATTGAGGTTTTTTTGACGAAACCCTAAAAATGGAACCTTCTGACAGAAAAACAGCAAAAATGTAACCCTACATTTTTACTCTCTGTGAGTTTAGCATCCTTATTTATACCGATGGGATTCTCTGTGGATCAAATCAAAGGTGAACTATTTCAATTACCGAGTTCATTTTATGTAAGTATGATATTTTCCCACAAATAACTGTCGTAAACTAGATTTTCAATTCTATCTCTCGTTTCTTTTTTGGTTAACTAAGGCCGGACAAGCATATATTTTGTTCAACATGTCCATTTGGATAACGTATGCTAATAAAATTTTCAACACTTTACTTACAAAAATAAACCATAAATTTTACTCAAATCTTTTTAGTGCCATATCTGAAGTTTTTGCAGCAAGGCTTTGTTTTTTCAACTTTTGACCCTTTTCGTTATCAAGCAACGTACAATGCAGTACATTACGCGTTACCTGAGTTAATGATAAGGAGTACTGATAAAAAATAATCATTTGATTATCAACGTGATTACAAGTAGCCCTAACTATGTGCGTATGTGGTGCGCTGGTCAACGCTGGTCCTTGCAAGATTTTTGGGTATAAATTCTTGTCCAGAAACCATTTTGAAATCATTCGAATCTCAACATTCATCCTCAAAACAATCAATTCTACCAACCAAATTTTCAACATTTTCAACTTTTTGAAAATTATTCTCCTCAAAATATCAATCATGTCTAAAATTCAATTCTTTTCAATCCTTTTTGTTTGCTCGATCATCGGTAATGTTTGGACAGCACCGGCTTTTAATCCGAATAGCTATAGACAAGCTATAATCAACTATGGACGAACTTTGAACAGAGATATTAGCCAAAAATTGGTTAGAAAAATTTATTCATTCAATGGTCAGATTCGTGAATATGCTGGTGGTATCCCTAGTGATTCCGGTAAGTTAAAACCCGAATTTTCATATATTTTATAACAAAAAATTTTCCCATTTTTCTATATTTTAGCTTTACGGGAATTGGCTGTACCATTACATTTCAGTTCAAACATTGGAAATATGATTGCTCCATATGTTGTACGTCGTTTTGTTACCAAACCAATTGAAATCGCAACAGATCATATTGCTAATTGGGTGGATCATATCAATTCATCATTGAAACCGTTTTCCGATACCATTTCCGCTACATTGGGCAATGGTCGAAAAATATAATTTTTTCTCATAGATTTTTTGTAATTCGCATCAAAAACAAATGTGCCAATTTTAATCACAATAGTATTTTTTCATTTCATTTGGATGTAAATAAAAATTTCATTTTCAAAACACTTTAACCCTTTTTCATTTTGTTTTAATATTTTTCTTGTTCTTTGGTATACGTGATGTTCATCACCATTATCCAATTTTCCAACATTTTGCAATGTTCTCTGAGAGAATCCTCGTGACAAAAAAAAACTTACGATTATGGATACGCATGTCATGTGACATAGTTAAATAACAAGGTTCAGACAATAACAACAACAAAACGTGTTTCGAATACGAGCAAATGTGATCATCAAAAATGAATAAAAATACTTTGTTCCGAAAATTTTACCAAAAAAAAAAATATTTGATAATTTTGTTATTGTATGAGATTGATTAGATTTTCGAAGATATTTTGTATACAAGGATTTTCGACAAAAGAAATTCATTTTGATATGCTATTTTTGTTTCCTGAAATGATAACTTTATCAATGTTATTTTTTTGATTATGTCCACAGAATCTTTCCAAGTGAAGCAAAAAAAAACAAAAACATTTATAATTGAATGTTTTTGATGATGATGATGATAATGAAAATGTCCTTGAAACAAAACAAAACAAAAAATGGAAAAATAAACTCATGACAATCAATAAAATTCCAATGGAACAAAATGTCTGTCTGTCTGTCTGTGTTTATGCGAATGTTTGTAAACAACTTATTTAAAAAAAAACACTTATTGATTGCGTTTCACGAATCACGTAAACAATTTTTGTTTACAATTTTCATATATCATGGATTATCATGTTGTACACAAGTTTGTTTTTTGACAAGTATTTATTTTGCCATTAATCCATGGATCGTTGTTGTTTTGTTTCGTTCGAGAGAGAGGTATATAAAGCCAAAACTTGACAATAAATTAGAACGTCACATCAATATTTGATAACAAAGTTTCAATTGGTTAAATCAACATTGTCAAACGCCGACTTGAATTGACTGAATTTCTTTCTTCCTGATTTAATTTTTATTCGATACTGTTTTCATAGATCATGGGTCATATTGTAATTCCACGTAATGTTATTGCTCGATGTTCACGATCAAATCTTTGGGTTCAATTGAAAAAGAATCCAAAATATTGGTTAATGGTTACTGCTTCGTTAATAGCTGCACCATCATGTGCTATTTCAACTGGAATTCAAAAATTTAACAGCTATCCATTTATATTTGAGCGTGCAAATCAAAGTTTAATGAAAGATGATGCCAAATATGAAAAATATCTGGGAAAATCTACTTAAACTCTTCATAATCGATGATCATTCAATATGGCCGCTCAAGATCTCTTTGCTCATTATTATCGCATTTATTTGGTAGAATCATCAAGATCTCTGGACACGAGATTATTATTCTTTTTGTAGAACTTTGAATTTTGATGCTATTTTATTGTCGATTTACATTTCTTATTTGTACTTATTTTTATGATACTTATACACCGAAAAAGAATAAAACTGATTTATATATTCAATCTATTTATTTGTATATTATTTGAATATTTATTGCATGAATATGCCAATTTTTCGAATTTTATGTTCAATTTATGGCGCCATTTATAAAATGAAACGAGTAACGTATGAAATTGGCAAATCTAAACCATCACAAACAGTGCCATCTTGTATTGAATCTTTTCGAGAATCCGATACACGTGGTGAGGATCCTATTGAATTTATATGTATTCCATACATGCTTTCGTGTTTTTATTTCACACACCGCAATAATCATGGGTCGTAAAGCTAAATTCGATACCAAACAACCAAAAGGACCGGGACGTAAAGCTCGAAAACAAGGAGAAGTCGATGTTAAATTGTTCCTATCAAATGTTGAGAAGAATGTCCATAAATCAATCACACCTATTTCCAAAAGGTAAGCAGAATTAAATGTTTTGCAATCATAACATTTTTGTTTTATTTTATGATTGATTAGAAAAAGTGTAGATAAAGTCGAGAGTAGCAGTAAAAAAAGAGTCAAATTCGCTTCAAATCTTGTTGAGCAAAGAACATTTCCATCGGATCCGAAGGAAAGGAAAAATACTGGTTATTATGGCAATTTATTGAAAGCTATGAAAGGTGAATCGCTTGATTTCGATGACAATGATGATGATGATGATGATAATGAAGATTTAAATGAAGAAATGGATAATCCTTTCTTTAACAGCGATGATGATAATGACGATAACGATGACATTGAACAAGATGAATTTGAATTTTCCGACAATGAATTAGATAATCAGCAAAATGATTTGAAAAGTGACCAAAATGAAGATGATGATAAAAATGAAGATCAGTACGACATGAAAGCATCAGATTCAATTGAAATTTCAATTGATGAATCTTTACCACCCGACATTTCGTTGCTTAAACAAAGAATATCCGATGTACTTTTTATTTTGAGCGATTTCAAAAATCGACGTCAAGAAGATAAAACCAGGGACGATTATATGAGTGTTTTGAAGCAAGATCTTTGTTCTTATTATAATTATAATAAATTTTTGATGACAAAATTCATGAATCTATTTGCCTTGGATGAGCTCAAAGAATTTCTTGAAGCCAGTGAAGTTCAAAGGCCTATGGTTATTCGTGTCAACACATTAAAAACACGCCGGCGTGATCTCGCACAAGCTTTAATCAATCGTGGGGTCAATTTGGATCCAGTTGGAAATTGGTCAAAAGTTGGCTTAGTGATCTATGATTCTCAGGTGCCTATCGGTGCTACTCCTGAATATTTAGCCGGTCACTATATGCTTCAAGGTGCGGCATCTTTAGTTCCAGTCATGGCATTAGCACCAATGGAAAATGAAAAAATTTTGGACATGTGTGCTGCTCCGGGTGGAAAAACCACTCACTTAGCCGCCATGATGAGAAATACTGGCATAATTTTTGCCAATGATTTTCAAAAAGAACGTTGTAAAGCTTTGACTGCCAATTTACATCGCCTCGGTATTGTTAACACAATCGTAAGCAATTATGATGGCCGTAAATATCCGAAAATTATGAAAGGTTTTGATCGAGTATTGCTGGATGCTCCATGCTCTGGTACCGGGGTAATTTGCAAAGATCCCGCTGTCAAATCTACCAAAGTAAGTTATTAAATAATTATGTAATCATTGAAATTTAATTGAATATATTATTCATATGATAAGACAAATGCTGATATTCTCAAATGTTCATACTTTCAAAAACAATTGATTTTATCCGCCATCGATTGTCTTGATGCTAATTCAAATACCGGAGGTATATTGGTCTATTCCACTTGTTCAGTATTGATCGAAGAAAATGAATGGGTCATCGAATATGCTCTGAGAAAACGTAATGTCAAACTGTTACCCATCAACATTGATTTTGGTCGCGAAGGTTTTACAAGGTAAGATTTTATCATTCAACTATAGATGGCGCATCTATTACCAAAATTTAAATTTTTTCATTATTTTTCAAATAAAGCTATCGAGAATTACGATTCCATCCGACAATGAAATACACTCGTCGATTATTTCCACATGTCAACAATACTGATGGTTTTTTCGTGGCTAAATTACAAAAATTTTCCAATACTATTCCGTCCGAAATGAACGGTAAGTTTATCTTAAACTAATTAATTAAGCTAGTCGATGAAATAGCAATTTCATTCGTCGATTGTTTTGATATAATCTTATTAAACATCAGGCATTAACAATTGTGCATACATAAGCATTTTATGTTGGTGGTTTGATTTTGTAGATTTTTTCCTTGTCAATTACTTGAAAGTTGAATGTTCGGAAAAGAAATTATTTCTCAGTTATTTTCTCAATTCTGTTATTTTCCTTTTCGATATGTTTCGCGCTTATAGAGGAGAAAAAAATCAAATCAACTGCAATGATCCTATTTCATGATTATCAGACTTGATCCATGTGTTTGTGTGTTTGTTTTCAAGTAACCTGGTGAGCGTTGCATTTTTTCATTATTTTTTTGTGTGTTTGTTTATTCTATACACTGTTGAAAATGATAGTAATCAATCTTATAGTTCAAACATTTAACTTTTACTTTATCAGGTTTGGTGTTTGATTTTTTTTACACACAGAAACGTGTTTTGTTTAGTTAATATTGATGATTCAAATATCCATGATATTAATCAATGAATCTTTTTCGTTTATAATATTTGACCATATCAATCAAGGTTCTGTCATCATTCATTTGATTCATTTTAGGATTGTTTTCGCCTTTTGTTTTTTGTATTGATGTTCATTCATTTGAAATGAATGGCCGGTTTCAATCGTTTCGGTTTACAGTGGTTTTTTCTTAATTAGCATTTTATTTTCTCAATGGGACTAATGATTTAAATTCAAATCTTTATTTGTCCATGTAATGATTATTTTTAAATATTTAATGTCTCCTATCTGAATGTAATTCAATTCTGTCAAGATATTTTCAACTGAACAAATATTCGATTTATTTGAGAAACAGTTTCTCTCAGCTTTAGAAAATTTAATTGATTTATTATGCATTGGATTTTATTATTAAACGCGAACGGGTAAAAAAAATTATCGAGATAAACATAAAAGTCAAATTGTTTACTTTGTCAAATCTGGACTTTTGATTAAATTTTTTTTATGATGTTGATTTGATGTTGACTGTCAACTATCACATTTGCGATTGATTTTTATCATTGATTGTTTGTTTTTTCTCAAATTAATTATGCTAATTTTTTGTTTTGACATTATGTGAAAAGAATTTTTCATGCAATTCAACAGTAAGAAAAAAAATTCCTATCCATCTCTTTCTCTTCTTCTTCTTCATTTCTTGATTAATTGAATCATCTTTTTCATTTGACACCGCTGTCCATTTTTTTCAAAAAAAAATTTTTAATTTAACTTTTGTTTTTGTAGTTCTGTATATTACGTATAATACCATGAATCTGATGATCACTCTTTTGCTTGATTGTGTTCATTATATATCATTTAATTAACTAATTTATAACCATCCAGATGATTAGACCCAGAATGACTGATAAAAAAAAGATGGTTTACACTTTGATCGATGTCCATGCCAGGATACACAAACACACATGGATGGCATAGTTGAATATTTTATTTTTATTTTTGGATAGAATCACACGCAAAATTAATTAACCACATTAACCACCAGGACGAATTTCTTTTACAGATTCGTTTAAACACACATGAAAAGCGACATTTTGATGATTTATATTGTTGAAACTTTATATCTTGAAAATCTATATAGCTCTCATCTTTATAATGTTGTTGATGATGATGATGATGGTAATTATAATCGAGAATAAGATTGATATTATTATGCAATATTTGAAAAACATGCTATGAATTTTTTCATTCGTTTCTTGTATGACATCACCTGGACATGAATATGAATGACTGATGATGATGATTTGCCTATTAAAAATTATTGAATGTGAATGGTATATGAATTTTTATTTTCATTAAATGAATTTAAGTCTCAAACATCGTCGTCGTCGTCGAAAGTTTTTCAGTCTCTTGTAATTCCAATCACTCTCTTTAATTTTATGTGGTGTTTATGTATGAATGTGATTAATCACAATTTTGGCAAATTGAAATGACTTTTTTTGTTGTTGTTGTTCACTGATGCTTTTGCTAATCAAAACCTCATGCTGTGATTCAATGTTTAAATTTTCACCATCCTTGGGGCCATACATTGACCAAATCCATATGTTGAGGATTGTTGTCCATTGAGATTTCATTAACCAGGATTTTCGTCAAATGAAAGTAATGTCATTTTCAGCTTGAATTAAGTAATATATTAGTTATACGGTTGAAAAAGTATTGGCTTAACTCCTTTCATGTCCAGTCTTCTTAAACTTTCCATTTTTATTTCAAATATCAATCGTAATTTTTCATCAGGTTTACCATCAAATGTTCAAGTATTAGAGATCCATTTCCTTTTTTTCCATAGACAAGGTTATAATTTCTTTCAAAGAAATTGAATGAAAAGAAAAATCTATTTTCATCTCCCACTTTTTTTTGTTTGATTATGACATTGATTGATTGATGTGATATTGCAAGGTGGTGCCCATTTGATGTTGATGAAATCATACAAAATTATAGTTATAGTCGTTTTTTTCATTAATTTTATTTCATTGTGTGTGTTTGTTATTCTTGAATTGTATTCATTTATTGTATGACCATTCTATTATTTGTTTTGTTTTAGCGCTTTGTATTTCATCATCAGTTGTCATCACTATCATTATGATTATCATTTTTGATTATGATGATTATTTTTTATAAATGAAATTCGCAGAATTTTAAATGGCTTGATGATGACAATGTGGACAATTAGCGTATGAAAAATGTTTGAAGAATATGACTTGATATGGTTGAATAGATTCTGATAAGCATTTTTTTTCTTTCTTTCTTAATTTGTTAATTATATTTGTTTTTTGTTTTTTTATATATCATTAATAATGATTGTTCTTTTTTTTTCTTTTTGGTTAATTTTGATGTTTAGGTGAAAAACAACAAACCAACAATTATACATCATTATCCACAAACGATGAAGATAGGTCTTCGAATAATAACAATAATCATAATAATGGCGAAGAAAAAGATGATGATGATGAGGTTGATAATGAGTTGGATATACCAATTGTCAACAAGCATCATCAAAATCAACCAAAACCAAACAAGGCAAATAAAAAGAAGAATAAAAAGCGACGAAATAATAATATGGCCAACCCAAATAATCATGATATGAATCAAAAGGATGACAATGACAAATTCGCAAAACAGAAGGATAACAATCGTCCAAGTAAAATGGCTAAAGTTAATGAAAATACGGATGTTCAAGCTGCGATCAATGGTGGTGACCATGGAAAAAAACAGAAAAAATTCAAAAAAATTAATGTAATCAAACGAAAAGGATTTAAAGTGAAAAAATCGATGAAAAAAATTAATAACTTTAGGAAAAAAATGAAACCAATTTGAAATTCAAATTCTATTATATTTTGTCTGAATTTTTTTTTGTGAAAATAAATTTTATTTCTATTTTGAAAAAAACGTTGATTATCGTTATTATTTAAATTGATTCGTCATTTTTGTTTTGTTGAAGGAAAAACCGATATTATTTATTTTGATTACAAGAGAGAGTAATGCGAAACTGAATTTTGGAAATATCTTGGAAAACTAGCTCAACAATTCCGAAGAATAATTTATTTTTATTCTGCTGTTAACAAGAAATTGACGTAGAAAATCAATCGAATTTCTCCAAAGAATCACCAAAAGGATCATCATCATCAATGTAGTCGTCATGTTTGAAAATAATTGAAGAAAACAATTCTTTTGGTGGGATTCTGTGATTTGAACCTCTTTCTTTTTGCTAGAACTTTGGTTTTGTAAATTAGAATCTTCTTAAAGTTTCAATTTGGCGACCGATGTCAGAAAAGAATGAAAATGAAAAATAAGAAGAGAAAAAATCGAATAAATGAATGAATCGAGAACGCGCTTCTGTTTTTGTCTGTGTGTGTGTGAATTCTCGCAGACATCATCAAATCTTCAGGGAAATCAATGGACGGTTTTTTGTGATGCTGTAGAACAAAAGAGAATTCACGAATAAATTTTTTAAAAGCTACTTTAACCAAAAAAAAGAAGCATAGAGAATTGTATTAGAATACACGGTAGGCCAGATTTCCAATTTATATTTTTTTTTTACTTAATTCTACTTGCTTTGATAAAGTTCTAGAATTTATTTTATTTTATTTTTTTACTCAAAAAAAACAATGAAGAAAATGATTGCAATTGTTCGAACTCTGCGAATTCACAAACAGATACATTTACACGAATACACATCGGTGTCAAGTGGTATTCCTGGACGATAATGTTGGTGATGATGATGATGATGGAGATGGCGATTCACGTTGAACAAAAATTTCGAAATTGGTTTTTTGCCACACTATAAACGATAGGTATAATGTTGCCAAATATATTGTATATGTGATCACATGAAATGAAAGATAAAAACTATTGATTGCTGTAATGACCCGTGCACTTGTACGATAACCATAAATAAATGCCATCTGACTATGGAATTGTGCCCAATGTGAAATAAAAAACATGGTAAAATAGAATAATGCGAAATGTGAATATAATATACCAATTTCGGATTTATGATAAAATTTTCCAAATGATCCGGATTTTTTTCTCATTTTTAATTTCCTATAGATTACATTACATGCTTTGCAATGATCATTTCCGCTTGTTTCAATCCAACGTTTTATACAATCAAAATGTACAAAACCACCGGTACCTTTACAATCACATGGTGATATTAAATTTTTGAACGATTCCTCTTGTCGACAAATATTACAAATTGGTTTTTCTTTCTTATGGTTACCACCACCAACGCCTACACTATAATTATTTGATATCATTTTACCTCCAACGTTTGCCATGTGTTGTTGTTGTTGTTTTTCACTATTCTGTGATTTTATATATAATTTTCTAGTCTGTTCAATTTGGTTATGAAATGTTTATTTTGTGATCGTTTCAGGATCATTGTTGTTGTTTTGTTTATTTTGTTGTATTTTGTAGCATAATTTCTCTGTTATAATTTTATTTAATTTCATGTTTCAACAAAAATACGAAACAAAAAAAAAGTTTGGGCGTAATGTAGAAAAATAAACCACAAAATGAAGCTAATCGTTACTATTTTTTTTCCACCAATTGATTCATATGAATCAATGATTGATATAATCATGACTTTTCATGATCATGATTTCAACCCACAACAACAAACTATCATTTAGCAACCAATTTGAAAATGATCATATCGCGAGGCAATTATATATATAACCAGCTAATATTACCATCAAATTTGGAAATTTTGGTTTTTTTTCAGAATCTTGTTTTCAAAAAACTGTTTATTTTGGTTAGGCTAATTTAAAATAATTATTCTTTCATCATCATCATTATCTATGATTGAAGTTAAATGATATATTCTACATGAGTTAAAATGATATAATTTTTATTCCAGTCATTAGATTTATTGAAAAATTATACATAATTTTTCAATAATTATTGCACCACCCCCCATAATAAAAATCCAAAAAAAACCTTTTACCCATAATTGCTCATGCAATGTTTGTTTTTTGGATAAATTTTCACATCTAATCATCGGAACAAAAAAAATAACGATTGCAAACAATCAAAGAAACCATTCATTCATTGATAATGATGATTACATATAATGATTGTATTTCTGGATTTAATTTTAGCGATTGCTTTCGACTAATCATTTTATTGGTTTCTTGTCTATGGCAAGAAATGACAGCTACGAGAATTTAAAAGAAAAAAAACTGAACAAACTTTTGAACAAAATAGATATTTTCACATCATCATCTTTGTTTTTATTTTTCGTGATTGTAAATTCAAACTAATTTATGTTCATTTGTTGGCAGCCATTCGTCGACATTTACGATTCTATTTCACATTTGTCTGTCAGGACAAAATTCTCAATAAAAATTTTTTTTTAGTGTATGGGACCGTCACATCATATGGGAATCGTTTCGAATTCATGATGATACATCTTTATCTTGGCGTTTAAACAAAAATCAAATGATCACAATCTTTTGATAACATGATGATCATGAATGTCATTCGAATTTTATGATTCTAATTTATTGAAAATAAAAATAATAAAAAAAATAAAACAGGACATTACTTGTTGACAAAAATAATGGTGGATGATCATTTCAAGGTGAATAATAAAAAGGAAGCTAATCAAAATCAAAAATGATTTTTTTATTTGCAAAAAAATTGCATCTGATCAATCAACATGAAACAATGAAAACAAATTATCATTCTATCAACTTAACAGCAGATATAATTATATTATAATAGTTATGATAATTGTTTAAATGACATCTGTGTTTGTAGTATACTATGTTCAAAGTAATAATTTTTAACGACAATCTTTTACAAACCCACCGGATAACTATGTATGTATTTGATTAGCAAAGAACAAAATTGCACAAATTTTGTTGTTGTTGTTACAAAGTAGTTTCGCCCTCCATTTATGATTATGATTATTAAATTGAACAATCACAGAATACCATTCACATAGATCAAATAATAAAAAAACCATTTTTGTTGGGGAAATAAAATCATCAGCCCTATTGTGATGATAATCATTTTTTGAATTACTTTATGAACAGGTGTGTTTGTGTGTGTGTGAGTAAATTTCTCTTATAGGTTTCAATGAGCATCATCTTTTATGCTAATCATCATCATCATTAAATTGGATATACTGCCATTATATTATGTTTATAAAAAAATTGTGATATTGTAAAGTGGAAATTAAATAAAATGAAATCGTATGATGATGAGGATGATGGTCGTAAACACATCAAATCAAATATGGTTGAATGCTTTGAGCTTATAATGCAATCTTTATATGTATTACAATGATACTTCAATTTATTTCAAATATATAAAAAAAAATTTCAAATGATGATGGTTCCAAGATAGGCGGTTTAGATTTTATCAATTTTATATAAAAAAAATTTTTTGTTAGAAAAAAAAGTTTATCTTTAAAATGTTTTTTTGATGATATCATCAATGTCCATATGGGCAGATGTGTGTGTTTGGTGGTTTCAAAGAAACAATTCGCTTGATGATGATGATGTTATTGGTGGTGACGTTTCTTCAAGCTCCTCCTTTCCATCATTTTTTTCATTCATATTATCACATTCAAAAAATAGAAACATCATTGTGTTATGTTAATTTTTTTCTTTGTAAGAAATATATGAAATTTATCACCATCATCGTCATCAAAGTTTATAGCTTTAAACCGAAACTGATGATGTTCATGAGAAATTTAAAAAAAATTAAAGAAGCTAAAAAAAGGATTAAATTTCAGGAATTTTCATTGATTTTTGTGTTTTTTTTATTCGTTAGGAATTTTCAAATTCCTGAATGATTATTTTATTTTATTTTTTTTAGTTCACTTGAAGAAAAACTTAATGATCTAGAAATTAATTAATTCTATGCCTGAACTTTGAATTTTTTCATCATCATCATCATCATTATCCATTTTACAATAGAATTTTTTTTTGTTTGGATCGTTTTGTAGTTTAATTATAGATTCAATGAGAGGGTTCATTGGATTCTTTTTCCTTTCACTCGTTTTTTTTCACCATTAATTTTTGTTTTTTTCCTTGGCTTCCACCGTCATGGTTCAATCGCAATTTGTTTTATAGCTCATTAAACCATTTTCGATCTCAATTTTATTTAAATTATTATTATAGAATAAAAAAAACTAGGAAAAAATTTTATAATGCATTTGGATCGAACGAATCGTATTTTCATGCCTGTTTCGGTTTTTGTGTTTGTGTGCGATCGGGTTCGAGCTGAGATTGTTGTATGAATAAATATAGATGCTGATGATGTAAATGGTAATCCGGTAAAAAAGTTAATGGGTCATATATATTATCGTCTTGAATGCCAATTTTTTTCTAACAATATTCGACTATTCCAACATGATATGATTTTTTTTATTAGTTTGACTGGTACAGATGCACATTTAAAATTCACATTATTCGGTAACAGTTTGTGCAAACTATTTACAAATGCATATAATGTTATTTCGAAATTTTTCATCATCATCATCAATTGTTTGAATGTACCAAAACAAAAACAAAATATTAAAAGAACAAATAATGCTATATTCCATAAACATATTCTATAGATTTATTTCATTTGTAGAAGTAATTTCGATTCTTTTTTTCTTTGAACAATTTATGTTCATCGATGATGACCATTGGATTTTGAACATGATAATAGTTAATAAATAGATAGGATTAGTGATCATCATCATCATTAATTAAATAAACATATAAATCCACTCTATCTCTCAAATATTATTATAAGAAAGAATTCAGAATGGCTTATCGAAGAATAACAAGAATTTTTTTTTATTGTATACAATGATGATCGGAAATGGACCGACTAATCCACGCACACAGATACACACAATGAATGAATGATCAATTAAGTTATATTGTGATGTTTTTCACTGTTAGATGTTTATTTCAATGTTATTGTTCATAATGATACAAACATACACATCATTTTCTATTAAAGTTTAATTTAAACTTTACTAAACCAGATGAGACCAGATTCTGTTTTTTTTCAAAAACATTTTCCTGTCGTTCATTATATATGTAATGTCATTGTTTTGGTTATATAAGAACAAAAAAACCTCTTTGTTTGCCTGAAAAATAAAAATCCCAAATGGATGATGATGATTGTGAATGGCTCATCTTCAAAAAAAAATGGTTGTCGTTTGTCTTTCGTGATAAAGAAAAATCTTTCTTTAAAAAAAAAATTTTATTAGCACATTGTACTTGTTTTTGTTGCTGTTGTTCGTTCCTGGCAATTCGATCAAATAAGAAAAAAAAATATTTGTTTGTTCAAAAGATTGACCAACGAATCCATTTGAAAAAAAAGAATCCAATTAAATTGCTAAAACTACAACTACAATGAAATCAATAGTGTTTACAGGATGAATTTGGAAAAAATGGCCATTACATTGATGGTTGGTTGGTGAACATACACAATTGTCTAGCAATAATAATAATAATGTTTAGATGACAATAAACAGAATAATATAGTGTTATGTTTTCCAATTAAACTTCCAATAAGTATGTAATATTGGTTTGGACTTTTTTATATTATTTTTAAAGATCTAAAATCTATGTTTATGACTTTAATTTTCTCTTTTGTCAAATATAGTTCGTTTTTATTCCTGGAAACAAAATCGATTCTTTGATTTTTTTTTGTTGCTGAAATTCGTGTATATCGAAATGAATTTGAACAGTTCATGATCTTTTCATCATTTTGAAACGATGAGCTTTTTTAAAGAGAAAAAAATATGTCTTTGGCCTATTCTTTTCAATTGAAAGTTTTTTTTAATTCTTCATTCAATGATCATAAATGTTGAAAATAAGAGAAATAGAGTGAATGAGAGTTGATCGATCTATTGAAAAATTTCAATTTTTTTAACAAAAAAAAATTAAACTTTAAAATTGATCTAATAACTTGGTAAATTATAACCAATGGAAATAAATTAACCAAATCATCATCATCATAATAATCGAAACTTGCTTGTTTAATCATTATTGATCTATTGATAAACTGATTGATTGAACATATAACATTGATGATTGGCGTCGTTAATCGTATTTTCATTAGTTTTGAACAATAACAAATAATACCTGGACCACACCTGAATTATCATCGCTGGACAAGAGACATCACAGACCACACTATTTGATGATATCCAAAAAAAGATCGATCGTAAGAAGAACAAACTGTGAGAGTGATAATTATGCAGTTCAGAAAAAAAGCCCCAATGGAGTGATATCCCAAACATGTTCAGGTTTATTTTTGGCTCAAAATCAAAATCATAAAAATTGAGAGTGTACGATTTCAAGCATTTCATGCGGAGAATTTTATACAATT